ATTGCCCCCGTCGCTCTTAGGTTGTTAGTAGTTCTAGCACGATTAAAATGACTAACCTGTGGACTACACGACTTTACAAAAATATTTACGAAAATAAAATAAAATCTCTTTTGCATGTTAAAAAGGACTGCATAAAAAATTCTAAACAACAACTTTTGCATGAAAATCAAATAATTTTTATATGAAAATTTATAAAAGTCCATGGTTAGTCATTTGGATTGAGGTTAAGAACTACCTTCTGTAGATTGTCGAGTTGGCAACTCTTATTCAAGGTCGGCAGCACACAACCCAGCTCTGAGCCCCCACTTTTACCAATGTCTTATACCCAGTCTTGATCTGTCATATGTGGTTACATGTTTCTTTTGCTTGTGATTTCTACTACTCGTTTTTATAACTTTCATGCTGGTTTTTTGTTTTATTTATTTTTCTTGCAAGTATGTTTAAATATGCTGCAAATCATACTACGATTACAATATTAATCGCACAACAGTAGCAGATGTCCAGGTATGTTTTTACCGTTTATCTACAACATTTTATTTTACTGCATTTTACCTTTCAAGTACCTTTTATTTACCTGCAATTTAATTATTTTGCATGCAAAACCAGAACTGAAATCAAAACTGAAACAAAACAAAACCAAACATTGACACCAAAATTGGGAATTTGACACCAAAACTGTGAAGCATAAACAACCAGTCTCAAACCCTTAAACCATGGAGTCGTTGCGACAACAGGAGCTTGGAGCCAACTTTGTGGGTAGCACGACGATAAATTCAGATCGAGCAGCAAGAGGATCTTCTTCAGCATTATCCCTTCTTAGTATAATAACAACCCATAGGACTTTGAGGTAGCTCGCCTAGCGCGACGTAAATCGTCACTTCTTTTTTAGGCTCGCACCTGTGCAACCAGGTTGTGCAGCGTAAGTCCTAACCCGCCTTAGGTTCCGAGGTTGTCGTGTGACACGACGTAAATCCTCTTATCTCCGCGGGTTATTTGCATAAATATTTGCATAATCGAGTATTATGCATTCGTAAGTCCCAAATAATAAAATTTTAGAAAGAAACATTCAAATAATATCATCTCTAAAAATGCAGCCACACAGTAGGATAGTCTGGGAAGTCACTGAGGGTTCTCCTCAGAATCTGTGACATCCCCTACCCTTTACTTCCTTTGAACTCATGAAAGGATTGTTCTCACTTGAGCCACTCTCAAGCCACTCCCACTTGTTTTTTTCCATGTCCTACCTTGAAAACCTGAACCTTGAATTTCTTGAAGACTAGAACCACTGATCATTATCGAGAGTTTTCTCAAGTGACTCCTGTCACTTGGGATGTAATTAACTATAAAGGTTGGTCTCTATAGGGAACTTGAAACCCTATTTAATCTTTGTATTAAATAGGGGAACTTGTCGGTCATACATAAAAAGTTCGCAGATCAAACGAATGTCACAAATCTTTTAGTTTGCAGGATTGGGTCTATCGCCGAGATCTACACTTATCTTTCGGGAGGGTGTAGTATTCGCGGTATCGGACACGATTATGCAAACTATTGGACAAATGAGATCTATTTGGTCTCATTTTTTTTCGAAAATTAAAACGTACTACTTTCAAAGCCCAAACTATATATCTATTATATTAAATTAAATTTCAAAAATTATTTTTATATACCATATTTTCAAATCATCATCGAAAAAAGTTGACCGACAGCTATATCTCTCTCCCGAATAGTGTTTATCTTCCCTATCCTTCTCCACATCCTCCACAAGTCGCTCTCGACCGCCCTCCATTGAGTTTCCCCATTCCAGCCACTAGACTTGGGCATTGGGAGGGTGGCCCGATGGACTCGCCATAAGGCTACTTAGAATGGACGAACTTGGCTATGAAAAAATAAAAACTTTAGCGGGTTCGGCCCGACCCAAGCCCGTCTTGACTTAGTCAAAAGCCCTAATCCGCCCAACCCACGCTAAGCCCGACCCGCCCAATGGTCCGATCTCATATTGCAAGCTTTCGAAGCGGTTAATTTCCTTCTTCTTTCTCTTCTATATCAAGCCATAAATTTTGATTTTTACATTAATACCAACCAAAATTTTCATATTATTTAAAAACTATCACTTTTTATTTTTTTTTAAATAAAATGCAACTTTCATGTATAGATAAGATGACAAATATGTATATATATTGGAACGATACAAAGTAGATTAGTATGGCCCCTTCGTAAGGATGACACACATAAATCGAGAAATTGTTCAAATTAAATATATATATATATATATATATATATATATATTTTTTGTGTAACCGGTGGCTTGTTGGTTGGTAGCTTCGGCGTGTCTCCTCTTGTATTCCCACTATCAACTCATTTGAAAATGACTGTTGTGTTCCAATTATACCCCTATACAATTGTTAAACTTTCTCTTTCCCCGTACATATATATATATATATATATATATATATATATATATACATACATATTATTTGATTAATTCAAGCCTAACGAGCCAAACACGAGCGGACAAATCTTTGTTAGTGTTTAGCTAGTTTATAAATTGAGCTCAAAAAATTTGTTCGTGTTCGACTCGTTTGCTTAACGAACAGACCAAACACGAGCTGTTCACGAACAACAAATTATTTTGACAACCCTAGCCACAACATTTCTAAAGGGAGAATCTGAAGTCTATACATTAGCGTGAAGGAAAAGATACAATTACTACCTGGTCCAAGAATAAGAGACAGATACAGTGTCAGTTCCTACCAGTTTACCATAGACAGAATGTTCAGACCATAGCTTCAGAAGTGGAGAAACCACATCACTGTGTGACCATCATATCTCACTAGTAGAGTTCAACCTTAGGATCTTACAACCAGAATACACTAAGCAGAACATCCAAGCTGACCCGTCAGAGAAAAAGCTGATTAGGAGTGGAGAACAGGTGGAACCAAGCCGCATTCCTAAATTTGTCCCAGTTAAGATTTGGTTCAGGTGTTACGGGTTTGGGTATAGTGAATCAAATTGCACAACCAAGAGAGGCGATCACTTTCACTGATTAGGAAACAGTTGAAGAAATAAATAGTGATTTAGGAGAAGGTAAGGATTTAAGACATGATTTTCAACTTCCAACCAACAAGGAGACACCAACAAATCTAGCTGAACCCAAGAGAGAAATTCCAATTGAATTGACAATAACTATTTTAGAAGATAGTGAGTTTATAGTAATATGTATTCATGCGGAGTATGAGATCGTGGTGCCTCGAGCTACCATTTTGCAGACGTTGAGAGAAGCATTAGTAGAGCTGAGGATCTCCAAAAGAGCCATGAGTTTGAGGAGTCAATATCAAACACAGGGCAAACCCAGATAAGTGAGATTCTGACTTTTCAGATGTATAGCCTACTTCCTGAGTTGCCCCTACTAAGGGAGGCCCAATATGTCTGAGATGAGAATCTTTAAAGTTTCTTCTAGAATCTCATAGGGAGTCATTAGGTTATTAAATTTAGTTCAGTATTATACCCATTGACAACTAATCAAACAAGATAGATTAATCACAATGTTGGATAGCCTTAGAAGCTTTGTAGAAAGAAATATCCCACAATGGGATTCAGATCTTTTCAAAGAAGAAGAAGAAGAGGCATCTCCTGAGTATTTATAATTCAGTGTGGCCCAGGCCGCCATAGATTTCCTCCCAGAGTTGATTCCTCCTTACATACTTGTTTATCAGATACAGTCGGGCAAGTACGAAGAGTGGAACGAGCCAATTATAAATTTGATGGCTCGAGACTTAGTTCGTGAGGATACTTATTCACATATAGTTCTAGTTATGTTTGTGCCAAAACAGGATGCATAAATATTCTATCAAGATGTGTTTTGGAATGCCAAAAACAACATGAATGATTTACCGATAGATTACAACGTTTCCACCACCTTCAAATTAGTCGGCCTGGTGACATAAAATGTGGTCGAAGCTCCCCCCCAACTCCGGGAGATTGATGTGGGAGGTTACCGCAGATGTGGTGATGTAGTTGTTAGAGTACCTAGGGATTCACAATCGCAGTAGACGAGGTGAAACATTCTCATTTTGCTTTCTCAATCCTTTTTAGTTTTTTTTTCCTATATATGTGTTGTATTAGGGTTTGAAATTTAGTTTTGGCCTAGAACAGCCGCAAACGTTTATTTCTCCCTTCGAGGGTTGCATCCGAGAGTTCGGGTGGTGCTCCGGCTATATTACTCTCCCGAGGTGATGTTTATCTTCCCTATCTATTTCCAAATCCTCCACACGTCACTCCTGATTGCCCTACATTGCTGCAGCCATCTCCAAACAGCCGCAACTTGTTGTTTTTCCTACAGTTTCACCAATCCAGCCATCTAGCCTCGTTGCTGCCACCCAAACAGCCATCCTCTTGTTGCCCTGCAGTTCCCAACATCCCTTGTTGCTTTCGTCGACATTTTCCCTCGCTACAATAACCCGAAAATAGCCCTTTCCTGCTGTTTTCTGATTCCAACTACACAACCATCCATTCCCCTTCTTCTAGCTTGTTGCCCCTGCCGCAACTCCTCCCTTTCGCTGCCACCGTCCACATCCTTTGCTGTCGCCGCACTTTTCAGCTTTCACCCACTCCTTACTACCTCGTCAAAGGGCCAAACCTTTGTCAATCACCACCACCACCCCAAGATCCCACCCTAGTTGGACTATTTGTGTTTTGTCTGTTAATAATTCTAATTTTTGGGTATCGTGTTTTTATATTTTTCCTTTCAAGTGTATTGATTGTAACCGCTTAGTTACTTCAAGTAATGATATTTGTTTTTCTATTATGATTTGGGTTACCTCCCGTATCAACCTATTATGGGAAACTAATTTCTTTATACCAGCATGAAACTTGAATATTCTGATTATGGTTTGTAGAGTCCTTATAATTATTTCAATTACATAATTTGATACTAATTTGTTGGCGTTCTTGATTTATTCAAATTTGGCACATCTAAAATTCAATTGCTCTCCAATTTTATGTGAATCAAACTACTTGAATAATTTCTTCAATTATTTCGACCATTTCAATATCAGCTGGATTTTAATTCTAGCATTTCCTATTTATATTTAAATAAAGTGCATTTAATTATAGCATTTAAGTTCAAAACCACCAGACATATCATACAAGAAAAGCTATGCAATCTGTTAAGAAGTTTTGGAAAAAAAGTAAAAAGAATCAAATTGATGAGTCAAAAAGATCAATAATTAAAATATGAACAAGCGAGAAAGAAACCTGAAAGTCATTTGAAAGTCTTCTATCATTGTCAAAAGATGCACGTAAAGCATCAGCAACCAATTGTGTATCCTCTTCATCAGGGATAAATCCCAATGAAAAGAAATCATTTGCCAAGCCCACCGAATCTCGGTTAACGAAGTGCACAAGCTGGAGATACAGAGTAACAATTTTACAAAAAAAACTTAAATCATAGATAGAAAATGATATCAGTAATCAAAAAGTCAAGCAAATCTGCATACATATAGGGCCGCCTGGAAATGGAAATACATGATTGCCAAAAGTTAATAATAAAATAACAGTCAAGACCATAAGTTGACAAAGAAGAAAAAAGGGGTCATAAATATCTCCCCTACTTTGGCACTGGTGGATCATGTAGCTGAATAATAAGGCTAGGGCATTGCATCCACTTCTAACTTCATGTTTAAACCAACAATGGTGACGGATGCAAAAGTACTTTATTGAACTGCCAAACTGAATGAATCAATGAACTAAGTGGTCTACACCATTTTCACCAAACAATAATAGAATGAACTTCTTAAAAGATGGGGAAAAGAAAGCAATTGTCTATCAAAAGATGGAGAAATCTACATGCAGAAAAATATAAAACCGTCAGGTGGCAGATTCCACCCCCCGGCCATCCCCACCCCCTCCAACACTTAATTGTTTAAAGAGCCTGCCTGCTAATCCACTTTATAAAAACATCTTGCATGCATATCCACTGAAGAAGAAAAATAAATTTGCTTACATAGCCCGTAATTCTTATGCATATATGTATCTCACACCTAAACTTTCATATTTCACAAATAGCACTCAATTCACATGGAAAGCAGCACAATTACCACTCTTTAAAAATGAAATGTACCTTTTCATATATAAATCTGAAGCAACAAAGTGCTGTGCATGTGAATATGAGAGTTTCGGTGTAAGATATGCAAATAAATAAGAATTGTGTGATATGTATGTCAATTCCCTATGAAAAACATGAAATAAAAGAAAGCATGAAGGATGTCTGCACGCTGCTAAATGAGTGCAAGTCTCATTTTATGACGATAACGTTCGACAAAAAAGAAATAATTACATCTACAAGCCTATAACACTGAAGCTTTCACAATCTTCATTGCTAAGGTGCATCAACAATCTCCATGATTGTCCATTAAGAAAATGGAAAAAGGTATAGTCGCACAATATCATTCCAATGATGGTGCAAAGAAAGCTAACCACTTTGATAAGTCCTACACGGTAATGGCGGGGAATATCTCCCATCATACCAAAGTCAAAGTACGCGAGAGATCCGTCGGCAGTAGCCACAAGATTTCCTGGGTGTGGATCGGCATGAAAAAAGCCATCAACAAGAAGCTGTCTCAAAGAGCAATAAACTCCCTGTCATACCAAGGAAACAAAGAATAAATATTCCTTCTATTTATAGAATTAAGAAAAAAAAATCATTCAGGTCAAATCCAGTCTTCTACACAACCCACAGGTTGTGAAACTGGTTTACTACGTGGATTTTACCTACTACAACCTTAAAAAAGAAAAATTGCCAAAGCAGTCAAAAAACATATCATGTAAAGGTATCTTTAATGACGTTAACATTATGAACAAAGATGCAACGGAAACATGGACATTAGAAGATAAGTAGATAATCTAATAGTGATCTTAAGATCATTCTAATATAACAACCGGTCCTCACAGTTTATCTTATCAAGTCTATTTTCATAACTACGTTATAAATTTTAGTTATAATTTCTCAAAATAACCCCCTAATCAATCATTTGTAGCAAATTTAGCCCCCGAGTCACAATTTTTCAATTTAGTCACTCCACTATAAAAAAGTGATCTAAAATGATCCCTCATACAGTAACTATGATATAAAATTGTCCACAATTTAGTCCCTCAACTAAACAAAATTGATCACAATTTAATCACTAAGAAAACATTTTGGATAAATTTTGTAGAACCGAGGAACTAATAGAACCTTTATATTTATCATACATCAAATAGTTGCCTACTTGATTTGCCTTAATAACCACAAGTGAGTAACCCTTGTTATCAACTAATTCTCCAACTATGACTTGAATGAAATTTTAGTAAAACAACTAATGCATCAAAAAGCAATATAAAACTCTATTAAAATAACCAACGTATTGGAAAAAATTGCAACCACTGTACTGTTGTGATAGGCTTATGTGCCCAAATGGTCAAATTCAAAGAAAATTACATTTGGATAAAACATGGACATCCATAACAAGAAAATTAAGGCATCGTTTGGAATCACTTATGATTTCTTTTTTATTTTTGTTTTTTCATTTACTTTAAAAACATGTTTGTTTAGTATATTTTTTATATGATTTTAATTTTTTTTCAAAAATAAATTAATTTATTTTTCAAAACACTCAAAATATGTGAAAGTAATTTTGACTGTTTTAAAAACAACTAAGCATATTATAGCACACCAAACATATTTTATTTCAACTAAAAAAACAAAATAAAATAAATAAATAAAAAATAAAAACAAAAATCAAAAGTGATCCCTAAACCTTTAAGCAATCATATAAGGTCATTGTCCCACCTCACTACATATATGGGTCAACATATTTATGTGCACAACGATGGGAGCTGATTATATTATTATTTGCTGAATATAAAGCTGTATAGCTGGTAGAGGAAAAGAACCTGCTGTACACCTTCTCAAGCCATAAAATGCCAAATATCCCTAACTAAGTCTCCTCAATTATTCCTCGTTCAGTGTCTTATCTCTTCTTTCCCAATTTGTTTTGTTTGGCATAGTTGTTGGGTTAAAGACTTGTAAGGCACTGTAGCCCACTTGTTTCTCATACCATCTTACCAACCCCTCTTTCAGATGTCTCGTACAGATGGATAGTATAAAACAAAACATTTATCATGCTCCATAAATATGGAAGTTTCTTGGGTACACCTCAAACAAAATCCATGCATATGTTAGGCGCTGTCCTTGCTAACGTACCAAGTTAAATTACATGTCTAGCCCTCATTCCCTTTTTTTCTCAATCTCTAAATTGTTTTTCTCAATGTTAGATGCTATTCAAGTTTCATAATTGATGCAGAAATTAACTTTCCAGTTAGACTACAATAATTATACTAAAGTGCATTTACCGAGAAAAGTATTTCCTAACTTTATACAGAATAAGAGATTGACATATTTCTCGATAGTTTTTCTGCATTAATAATACGTATGTCATAGCTGCAGTATCTTCATATTTTTCCAACATATGTTCCACACTAGGGTCCATGTCCCGCCCCTATAAATACCAATGCTTTTTATATGTTGCAACCAATCAATTGATCGGGTGAGATTGGGGATTGCAACTTCCACCATCTCTCCTAACCCCCACCTATACTTCACCCTCAGATCTTGCCAATCATCTCAATCAAATAGCAAAAACGAAAGAAATTTTTGAATGAATATGATATGCTTATTGCTGCAGGTGCTTACCAGCAGGCAGTACTGTAGTTACTACAGTATCGCGGTTGTGGCAATGTAACTACTACAGTGTCGCAGACGCTGAATTCCCAAAGAGAAGAGGATCTTCTCTTTCAAAATATGTCGCCCCTTCCTTTCCTATTTCTATTCCATTCTTATTTTTATTTCTTTCCTTTTCTATGCTATCCTATTCCACCCCTTTCCTTTCCTATTACATTCTATTTCTATCCACTATCATCTGTTAAATATTTATGATGATTGCTTGCTTAGGGAATAGTCTTGATTTATCTCTGATTTCAATTTGCTGCCTCTAAGGTGTTTATCCTTTTTGACGGCTGTATCTGACAGTGAGAAGGTGCTCCGACTGTAACTCGTCTGAGGTGGTGATTATTTCTGCATGTTCCACTCTTCCAGTTGCCGCCAAGTCCTCCTACAACAAGGCTGATCCTTCCTCCTGTCATCAGCCTGCAGCCTTGCGGGCTCTGTTTCCAGCCATCGGCCAACAACCATCTTAGTCCCCGTCCGCGTCCTTGTTGTCCTTGCCTCCAACCACCAGCCTATAGCTATGCGGGCCCTGTTCCCAGCCGCTGGCTTGCAGCCATCCGGCCCCCAGTCTGCATCCTTGTTGTTCATACTTCCAGCAGCTGACCTACAGCCTCACTGAAACTATTTACAGTCGTCAGCTTGCAATAATCCGGCTGCAAGTCCGCTTCCTTTTTGTCTCTGCTTCTAACCGCCGGCCTACAGACTTCTCGAACTTGTTTCCAGCCACAGGTCTGCAGCCACCTATATGCCGCCTTGTTGAACCTATTTCCAGCTGCACACCAGCCGCCATCCCCCGCTCTTCCGCACTCTCCTCCCAACCCGCTCACCCTCGTAAGCTGTTTATGTGTTTTTGTGTTGTTTTTATTCTCATTTTGCAGAGTCATCGTTATAACTTGACCATTTGTGTAATTGTGTTGTTGAAGTGTCGTCGTTATATTTTCGAATTCAGCAATAAATATGTTTGTCCTGTCATGGTTCGGGTTAACTCATATATGATTTAATATTAGAGCAAGCCTAAATCCTAGAGTCCGCTATTTTTTTCTTCTCTTTTGTTGTTTTCCTCACTTTTTTCTTCTTTTCTTCTTTCTTTCTTTTTTTTTCTCTTCTTCCGCAGATTCCACACCTTAACCATGCCCTCGAGAAGATACCTACCGAACCCATCCTGGATGAGATACAACAAAAGATCCTTCGTCTGTAACAAAGATTAGCAAAGATGATGGGACCCAATGGGAGAATGCCCTTAACCAGAACCTGGAAAATTGAAGGGGAGCAAAAGACGAGCTAAATCCCTTCCATAGGGAGGACTTTTGTAATGCAAAAGATCGGCCACGACGCTTTGGAATCTAGTATTAGAGAATGTCGAGAGAAGAGCCAGCAAATGGAGAACGGGAGAAGCTCAAGATTAAGTGGAAGATCCAATGTCAGTTCCTACTAACTTACTAGACAGAAAGAACAGACTCTAGCTTCAGGAGTGGAGAGACCACATCATTGAGCGATCACTGCGTCTTACAAGCAGAGCTCAACCTTAGGGTCTTACAGCCAAATTACACCCATGAGAACAACCTTAGGGTCTTACAGCCAGATTACACCCTTAACCAGAACCTGGAAAATTAGAGGGAAGGCTGCGTCAGAGAAGAGAACAAGTGGAACCAATCCGCATCCCTAAATCTGTCACGACCAAGAAGTGTTTCAGGTACTACAGGTTTGGGTAAAGTGAATCGTAATGTACAACCATGAGAGTGATCGCTTTCGTTGGTCAAGGAGCAGCTGAAGAAATAATCAATGCTCAAGAAGAAGATGAAGTTTTCAGGTGGATTCTAAATTTTCAACCAACGAGGAAGAGACACCATCGATTCCAGTTGACCCCAATACAGAGGTAACAGTAGTTGTGCTAGAAGGTAGTGACTCTGATGTAATGGGCATTCCGACAGAGTATAAGATTGTGATGCCTCAAGTTAGCATTTTGCAAGCGTTGAGAGAAATATCAATGCAACTGACCTTGGATGTCCAAAAGAGCCATGAGTTTAAGGAGCCGATATCAGACACAGGACAATGCAGATAAAAAAAATTCAAACTATTCAGATATATAGACTCGTTCCTAAGTTGCCCCTATTGAGGGAGGTCCATCAAGTCAGAAAGGGGACCCTTTTGTGTCACATCAGAAAGATTACATGGAGTTATTTAAATGTTAGATTCAGTTCAGCATGGTACCCATCATCAGATGTACAAACAAGAGAGATGAACCCCATCCTTGAAATTTGTCTTAGGAGTTTAATGGGGAAGTAAATTCTTCAATGGGATCCAAGTTCTGTCAGTGAACAAGAAGAGGTCTCTCCTGAGTGGTTGCGACTGAGAGTGGCACGGTACTACAGATTTCATCGCAAGCACGTACTTGTTTATCAGTTACATTACGCTAAGTATGAGAAGTGGAAGAAGCAGGTTTCAAACTTAAAGCCTCAAGAGTAATATTGTTGAAACTTACATCTATATGCAGCTATAGCTCAGGATGCTCCAAAAAAGATGCATGTTTATTCTATCAAGACGTGTTGTGGAATGATAACGCTTACAAGATCGCTCTACCAGGAGAATACAATGTTTCCGCTAGGTTCAATATCGCGGACCTGAATTCGTACTACGAGAACTCTGAAGCTTCCAAAAAATGAAGTCAAAGCTTCCCCAACTCCCAAGAGATTAACGCAAGAGCTTACCGAAATGCGGTTCTATAACTGCTACAATACAACAGATGTCGAAAGGGGAAAGGATCCTACTTTTCCAAACGTGTGGCCCCCTTCCTTCCCTATTTCTCTTCCTTTTCTATTTCTATTCCTTTCCCTTTCTATGCTTTCCTATTCCACCCCCTTCCTTTCCTTCTATT